AAAAAAAAACAAAGAAAGAAAGAAAGAAAAAAAAAGAAAAAGAAAAGAAAGAAGAGAAAAAGGAAACATGAACTTTCCCCAAGACAGTCAATATTAAATTCCATATACTTCTAAAGGAGGGACTAACAAATTTACATATAAAAACTGTAATAGCCTTTTTTTTAATTTGAATTAGAAACAGGATTGTTCTGCATGATAATCCCTGTTCCCTTCTCCCACCCGTCCTCCCCTACCCCCCCCCCCCAAACTAAAACCTGATCTGTCACATATCTTTTCTGCTCCCCCTGGATGGTGAGGCCTTCCATAGGATGTCATCAGAGTCTTTCATACAGCCACTTTGGAAATCAGTATGGCAATGGGAATCAGTCTACCACAAGATCCAGCAATTCCACTCTTAGGCATATACCCAAAAGAAATCTCAGCTTTTATAATTCTATAAATGCAACAAAACATGTAAACTATTTAACAAGATAGTAGCATAAAATACTTGGTGCACATTTTCCTTGGAGTGCTTTGCTAATCTCGAGTCACCTCACTGGTTGATCTATTGCAGGCCTTGTTCCACTGCTCTTGGTGCCACGGTTCAGGACACCATCATCTCCACTGTGAAGGATCACTTCTTTGCCTCTATTTATGCCCTTCATCAATGCGTTCCTCAAATAACAGTCAGATCAACAGCGTTATTACTGCTGTATTCACCATCTTTCCACGGCTTCTCACCTTATTTGGGAGGAAAGGCTAAGTCTCATAATGGCCTGTGAAACACCATGTGTTCTGGGCCCCATGAGTCCCTGATCTCACTTTTTCACCCTCTACTTTGTTCCTCTGCACCAGCCATCTAGGCAGGTAATCCTTACTCTATGTCTAAAATCTGCATATGAGAGAGTACATATCATTTTTGTCTTTTTGCGATTGGGTTATCTCCATCAGAATGGTTTCTTCTAGATCCATCCATTTTCCTGCAAATTTCAAGATTCCATTGTTTTTTCCCTCTGAGTAG